CACTTGCACAGAAAAGCCCCTGGAAATGGCCTGGATGCGCCTGCAGGTGGGGAGGGGCGGGGCCTCTGGGAATCACGGGGCGGGGCCAAAGGTGCTGGCGATTCAAATATGGTGCCTGCCTGCCTGCTCTGTTCGGGGAGGGCTCGCCAAAGGAGCAATGGCCTCCATCATCTCTTCTCCATGGGAGGAAGCCGCCCCTCCAGCTCTTGCCTGGATTTCAGGCAGGTTAGTTCCTCCCCGAGTGTCCCAGGTCCTTTCAGGCTGCTGCCCGGCGCTGGGCTCAGAGGGAGCGTGTCTGAGTGAGTCCATGCGTGGGCCCCTTGAGAGGAGCTGCTGGGGCTCCCACAGCCTCCAGGTCCCTCAGGGACAGTGCCCGCTAGTTTCACAGCCCGGAGTTGTGGGGACGTCTGTTCCTGGCCCTGGAGCCCTGGGCTGGGGCCTGCTGTGGGGCTGGGACCCGTCGCTCCTCCGGGAAACCGCCACCAAGATATCCCCCAGGGTTTATACCGTAGGACAGGGTGTGGGCCTGAGGCCGAGTCTCCCTGATCCAGCCCCGATCTGCCTGTGTCTCCGCCCCTCCTACCGGTCTCGATGCTTCTTCAGTTCCCTCTGTTCAGCCAGATTTCAGGAGGTTCTGAGTGATGATAGTTCTGTATTTTAGTTGTAATTTTGATGTGGTTGCGGGAGGCGGCGGGTACCGCTGATACCTACCCCTCATCTTTTTTCCACCCCCAATTCTGTTATTTAGTGGGTATGTGTGAGATGTTTCCAAGCAGAAATGTCTGCTATGCTTATACTAGAAGCCTGAATGATTTTTTAAATTTCATATTTCTCAGGATGCCAGACATGCAGCTGAAGAAGAGATTTATACCAACTTGAATCAAAAGATTGACCAGTTTCTACAGTTGGCCGACTATGACTGGATGACAGGAGATTTGGGCAACAAAGCTAGTGACTACCTTGTAGACCTCATTGCTTTTCTGCGTAGCACCTTTGCTGTATTCACGCACCTTCCTGTAAGTGACAATCACTTTACTCTGCCCATTGTATAGAAAAGGATTCTCTTAAAATTTAGTTTGTGAAAAGTGTTTGTCTGTTTCTGGAAGCTCTTCAGGATATAAAAGCTTACCCTGTGATTATCACCCCTTAACAAGATTTAGAGATCTCTTCCATTATTATTTCATTTACTTTTGCATTTTGCTCATTCTGAAAATGGCCCCGAATATTATGTCTACTTATATTCCTTCTAACTTAAGGGTAATTAGTGCAAACACATAATGAATGCCTTGGTAGAAACAGAAGAGAAACTTAGGAGTTAGCGTTTCAGATACTTTTTAGTTCTAGAATGTCCACTTAATTTTTTTATAACCTCAAATTTTCTGTTAAAATTCTCCATCTTTTTACCTAATGTATCTATCTTTTCTCTGTTTTCTTGAATATATACTCACAGTCATTGTAAAGGCATTGTTTACAAATGTGTAACAATGTGAACTTCACCTGCATATTGGTGGATTTGTTTCTGATTCCTTTTTTTTCTTGGTTACCAGTAATATGGTCCTATCTCTACTGACTACTTTTTGGTTGATATAAAACTCTGTGTTTAAAATATGTAGAGATTCCTGGTGATACTATGTTTCATCAGATTTGGTTTACTTTTTTCCTTATTAAGTAGGTACAATGGATGGGGTGAGTTGTGGTTTGAGCCTCATCACCTTGGGGGATGTTTTGTCACCGCAATAGCAACATAGCCAAAGGAATAGGTCACTAGAGGGTGTGTGTGTACCTGTGTTTTGGGTGGGAGAGGATGTCCTAGATTATACTCCATTAGACAGTGAATGGTCAGGGGAAAATTATTGAAATTTGCAACTGTTTTCCCCTTGAGGTTTGGTGACTAAGCTGGCCTACCTATTTTCATGAGACAACCAGAAATGATTATAATACGGTTTTCCACAGTTAAGAGTTCTAAAATGTTGCTGTGTACTTTGAGTTAACAGATGAGGTAAGTTCACAAGCATTTTTTCAGGCTCCAATTGTATAATTTATAATTGCATGCACAGCTACCCATTTTGCATGCTTGGCGTAAATGCATACTTTTGAGAATTTATCCTGTTATCCTGATAATTATCTTTCAAAAATGCTTGAGAGAGAGGAAATGCTGTCTCAAGTAACAGATCCCAAGGAGGGAATTCTGAATTCCTTTTCTCCGTCTGCTGTTAATGTTAATTTATATGACCTGAGGCAAGATCTCTCTTAACCCACGTTGGTTTGCCTTGATTTTTCTTTGACTAAATATTCAGTGATACCTGTCCTTGGCCTTCCTTCTTGGGCAGTTAGTTGATGGGTCATGTTTAAGGGAAAGTTATTTTCTACATAGAAGTTCCTGAAATTCTTCTAGTCTAAAACCCTTCTAAAACTGACATTTCTCCTACCACCCCCCTTAATTTTGTGAACCACGACCATCTCAGCACTAACCAGATGATTCTGATCTTTAGAAACTGTCAGTGCCTCCCAATAAGTACAAAATCTCCGTGACCATCAAGACTTTCCATAATGTGATTCCCAAACTACCTTTTTGACTTTATCTCTATCTCAATTTTCTATTTGCTCAAACATTCCTCCCCAAACTGAAATGATGCTCAAGTACACTCATCTTTTTCTACCCTTGTTTTTTTCATGCCTTTATCTACTTTAATGGCTTCTGCCCTTTAACTATATGTATAGAAATCTTACCAATATTTCAAGGCTCTTTCAAATCCTACACTTTCCATGAAACCTTCTCTAATTCTCCTAACCAGATATGATAGCTTTCTTCTTTATAGTGCTTGGTGTTGCCCATGGTCAGAAAATGAATCAATAGTGTGGGGTAGGCCCTAGGTCTTTTTACTCTGGGTCATGTTTTCACAATTCAGGGGTAGAAAAAGTAGGTTTACAGTTGTGAGTACCCAAAATACAAGTTATTCTTGTACTATTATTTCTTAATTATTCTATTATTTATATGTATTACAGCTATAAACCTACTTTTGCCCACCCCTGTGTAAAATTGTCTTTCATTATTTAATAGTAGCTATTATCTTTTGAGTACATAACATGTACCAGGTACTGTGTTAAGCGTATGCATATTCTGTGTGTATGTGTGTGTGTATGCACATACATATATAAATGTGTGTATATATATATATGCACTTGTTGCAAGGAATAAATGAGAATATGTATATATTGATACACATACATATGCATATTTGCATATATTCTCACATACATACATGTATGTATATGCATGTATACATATTCTCATTTATTCCTTGTAACAAATTTGCAAACAAGTATTATCCCATTTTACAGATGAGAAAAGTAAAGTATAGAGACTACCCAGCTAGTTCTCTTAGCTGACACCTCCTGTGGAAATTCTCTCATCTGCTAGTAATAATGATTCTCTAAGTCAGTCCAGTCCCTATGGTTTTCTCTGGAACAAATTAAGGAAGTTTCAGATGTCCTCAAGGAACTAGAGGCATCATAGCCTTCAGGATATCAACCACATTTTTCTTCAAATTAATTATATAGGTAGAGCTAGTGCCCAAAGATTTTTTTTCTCTCTCTTTTTTCCTCCTCTGATGGAGCAGAAATTACAGATTTGCTAATGATTTTTCTGCATACTGAGAAATTGATTGTTTCCTGTTTATATGCTATTAAGTCTTTGAAATCAGTGTATTAGCTCCTTATTAGTGTTGTATTTCGATTGTGAGTTTAGTTAGCCATTTTAGTGACTAAATCCTTTGGTTTTGTATTTCTTCAGAGATATCTTTGTGTATTGAGCTATTACTTAGCACCCCACCCCCTCCCCCACCCCTGGGTAAAACTACTTATCCCAGTAGCCATGGCTATTCTTTCTGGCTGTATTCAGCCAGTGTCTTGCCTCTTTAATGATACTGATCTTTGGGTTGTGTACTGCTCTTATAATTGTTATATAAAAGATTATGAATGTCTGATTTCAAATACTAAGAACCGTTTACTTCTAATCCTGTTTTTGGTGATGAGAAATAAAGAGAACCTAGAGCTTAAAGAACTGCAAATCCTTCAAATCGAACTCTCCAAATATGATGTGCTGTTTATAAGTCAGAGAGACCACGGAGAGGATCTTAGGTACTGCTCACTGTATCTGGTTACCTTAATATCTCAGATACCTTTATAAAATGCAGAGGAAACTGCTCTGATTCTTTGTCACTGGTGCTGGGATTGTGGGAAGCTGAAGTATTTTCTGAGGAAAAAATAATTATTTCAACATTGCCTATAAGAGCAAATAATTAAAAACAATTTTAACTGGGTAATAACAGGTAAATGGTTATGTAAACTGTAATATTATTCAACAAACTATCATGCATTTATTAATACTAGTTTTATGACTATTAAATAATAACATTGCAAAATATCTGTAATGTTAAATGAAAGAAGTACAATGAACATTTTATAAGCACGATGATTAGAAGTATGTAAAAGCTCTAAAAACGTGTTAGCAGTAAGGAAAAGATAGAGCAGGAAATATGTTAACTAGGTAATTGTTTTGGTGGTGTGACTTTGAATTCTTTTTCAAAATTGTCAGCATTTTATAATTTTTTGTTATTGGCATTTAAAAATATTTAAGCATTTACTTTATTAAAAAATTTAGATCTTTATAGCTGAAAAGGTATTTACCCAAGTTCCTAAGGAAGAAAGTAGTCCTGCTTGGCAGCACTGCAGGTAGGTCATTCTGAACTGCCCTTTTCCTGCTTTGACAAGATGGCACATTTGAGCCTGCTGTGTGGTGCCAAGATGCTCCAGCACATCTAGTGCACATGTTGTGGGGTGAGGAGTTCACAGTTAAGTGAACAGGAATCTGGTACATGCCACTGTTCTGAGATACTTTCATGGTGGTTTACAGCCACAGTTTTCATATGGTTTCTCCAAATAAATAACACATATTATTGGAAATCACACACAGTGCATACTTGCCCCTGGGGACTCCTACTTTGAATTAGCAACTGCCAGCTTCTTGCTCTCTAGCTCCGTGGCTGTGGATGAGGTCCAGGATCTTCTTAAGGAAAAACTAGCTTCTTAAAAAATTATTAGAGTAACCCACACACGGCCAAAGAATGGATTTACTACTCTGTAATGCATGAGGTTATATTTTTAAAAAGGTTTCTGTTAAGAACATCTACTTGTTACTTTTATATAATGTAGGATAATTGAATGGTTTATTCTCTTTAACTGTTGCAACATGGAGACTTTTGTCAACCCTTAACAGTGACTGCAAAGCTAACAAAGCGAGGAAGTTTTCTGTGGTGTGTTGACATGTGTTTTGTTCTGTTTGGGAGGATGGATGTTTTTGTTTTCATTTTAAATTTCCTTTGATCACTGTGTAACTTGATAACTCCTTTGGAAGATAGTCTTAGGACCAGCCAGTGACAGGGACCTGAAAATGGGAAGCTGCCTTTCAGTAGACTAACAGGCCTTAACTCTAAAGTCTCAAGAAGTTTAACATGATCCCTTGGTAAAGGTCGTTTTCTGTGTCTATTTTTCCTACATGCTAACATAGATTCCCACTGGAACCGTATAAAAGCTGTTCTCTAGAATGATGTTTTTGGGACCATGTTCACCCTACCTACATTTCTGCTGTTGTGAAACAGACACAGTGATCCCAGCAGCTCATTGTTTAGTTAAGAGGCCCCTGAAAAAAATGCATTTGTTTAAATAGTCCATTCTTTAGAAAAGGAAATCACTTTGTTTTTTTAAAAAAATTAAAAAATAACAAACGTAGTAAAGTGAACAAGTTATAAATACTGAGTAGTTTGATGAATTTTCACAGAGTAGACAAACCCATGAGATCAGCACCAAGATCAAGAAACAGAACGTTACCAGTTTCTTGAAAGACCCTTCTAGCCTTTCTCCCACCAAATCTTTACCTATCTCCCTGATGGTAATTATTGTCTGTATTTCTAATAATCTAGCTTGGTTTTGCCTGTTTGTGGAATGACACAATATG